ATCTAATTGTTCTATTGCTACTGAGATGAGACATTCAGTTTGCTATCGCTCTCGTGCGTTACATAAATATATATAGAAAGAACGAAAAATATATATGTATAGAATGAACGAATTACACGACTGTTAAAAAAATATATATATATGTATATATACTGTAACATTCACAGGCATGATCAATCGCACTAATATATAAATCTCGATCCAAGCAAGATAAATCCGAGGTAATTGAGAGGTACATCATCGCGTCTCTCGACGTCGAATGAGCAAATACAGCAAAGGAGGATACACACTCAATCTGCGCACGAGGGGGAAATGTAGATAAACAGCGAGGAGTTTCTGAGGTGACAAACATGCTTGTACGATCAGAATCGAGGGGATGAGCGAGAGAAGGGGAAAAATCGCAGTTCCAATTGTAACAAAAAAAAAAAGACGCCGACGGGCTAAACGGGCGACGAGCGGTGTCAGAAAAGCACGCGGAGGGTAACTGCTATCGGGCGGACCGATCGTTTTCTGCCCAGGAACAATTTCACCGCACTTGCCTTTGCCGATTGCCTTTATCGTTGCTTGTTGCGAGAAAGAAAAGAAAAGGAACGCTATATACGGTATGTTTCTCGCGTTCAGCGGCTCGCAGCGTGTTCGCACCATTCGATTTTCGAACGGTATCGCAGCTTTTTATTAACATGATATCCTTGCCACAGATTTTGCAAGCGGTACTATTGTATCCATAAGTGCAGTGAAATAAATAATAATACATATTATTACTGATTTCGTATGTAATGTAACAGTACTTTTGCAATGTACTTAAGCGAGGAGAATATGATTGTAAGCCGATACCGGACGAAATCGAAACGAATATTTACAAAACGACATGCTAACGAAATCACAGTAGTGTAAACAGGCTGTAAGGCACGCATGAGAGACGTACAGTGGATCATAAAGAGGTTGCAACACTTTTCATTTTGATGGGCTTTGGAGCGCAATAATATTTCGAGTATATACTGCGAATCACAGCCTCTAGCCGAGAGGCAGTACACCGATCATGATTCGCATTCGCGAAATATTGGTAACATTTCAAAATCCATCAAAATAAAAAAGTATTACAATTTTTCTGTGACCCATCATACAAGATAATCGCGTTGCAATAAATATGCTTAAATTATCATTAATTATTAGCTATACGGAGCAGATAATATTGACATGCAGATGACGTGACTGTATATAGAATGCGATTCAGGTAGGGAATAATAGCCATCGATTTTTAACATCGATGACGGAAATCATGGTCAAATCTTATTCCACAAGAAAAAAAAAACTGGAAATATATGGCTTAATCACGTATATGAAAACATACTTTTAATTTTATACCTCAAGAATCCGTCAGAAATAAAATATATGGATTAATTAGCAAATATTTTCTTCGCATTTCATATAAAAGAAATTAAATAAATTGTGTGTAATCGCAGAATGACTATTATTCCTAACTCCGATAATACGCGCGTATTAATTCGATCCCTATACGCTCTTTGCTTACCGCCGCCTCGTTTATCAACACGCAACGCGAACGATTGTTCGGAGCGATTGTTCAGTTGGATGAAGATACGCGGGAGTATCCGTACATGCCGTAATTTACTCTATGCAGTTCAGGGCTTATCGGAATATTTAAATGGCATTCCTGATAAAATAATTAAACGCGGGGGTGAAATATCGGGAGAACGATTTTAACGTCTCGGGCATTTTTAATTGCCCGAAAATAGTGCCGGCCGTAAAAGTTTCGCCGGTTAAACTCCGCGGTACTCCGCGGTTTTTCCGTCGGAATCCCCGATACCGCGAATACGCGCGGCGGATACGTTGATGCTGTTTCGTTCCTCACGGGCCGTAAATTAGGCCGCGCGCGATACTGTGGGAGGGGTGACGGTAGTTTTAGAGCTCCGAAACGTTTCTCGATTTAAGAAAAGTAAATTCTCGAAACTGCCAAACGCGCGCTAAGGCCGTCGTGGCTTCAATCGGTTTCCATTACCAAAAATGTACTTTCATGCTTGGTGAAAAATACTCCTATCTCTGGATTTATTCCGGGTGTCATATTTATCGTGCGCGCGCGTCTGCTCGAGTCTCCTCTTCTTAAATGCAGGCAAGATATAGCAGGTTAGCGGCTCCATGCCAAAAGTATAGCCGTAAAAACAACGCGGAGAGGGAAGAAGAAATCGGGCAAAAATCGTGCGCGTCGCACAGCCTCGAACTCGGCCAAACGAAAGCGAGAATGCAGCGCGCGGAGGATGCGTGATCGATTAATCGGAGGAGAAACAGGGAGAGAGGGGAGAGGGGGGTGGGATATTTATCGGCGATATAAAACGCAAAGCCATAAATCGATAAAACGGCTCGGGTATCGACACGTGCCAAATAAAAATGATGGTGCGGCGTAAAAATTTGAGAACACGTCAGGGAGGTCTTGCGAGACGAGAGAGCGCGCAAGGAGAGCAGGAGCGAAAAGTGTATTAAATTTGAAGGAGGGGGGGAGGGAAGGGAAGGATAGGGTCTACCACTTAAACGAGTAGACGTGGCCGTGGTCGTCGATAAGACCGGCGCTGAAGATGATGGCGCCTGAGAACGAGAGAGAGAGAGAGAGAGAGAGAGAGAGAGAGAGAAAGAAAGAGAGCTAGGGTTTCGTGAGGAGGCTGATAAAAATGATCGCGGAGAAAAAGAGGTGACGAACGAGCGGACGGGTCGATGATGAACGAGAACGAGCATTGTTTCAGAGAATGGGCGGCGAGAGGGGGTTGCGAGAGCGGGGGGGGGGGCGAGTTTGAGAGAGAGAAGGTTGTTTCGCCCTGCCTGAGGTGACTTACCCCTGGACAGTGTCATGCCTAGAGTACGGAATCGCAAGGTAATCGTTGGCGTATCTCCGTATTCTTTACTTGGCCCGACTCGCATGCTGTCCTATATCAGCGTAGCGGCACAACACATAAGACATTTGTACACGTTCAGATATAAAGAGTATACTTATATATTTATATATGTATATCGTATTACGTACTTATATAATATATCTATCTATATATATATATATTAAAGGTATAACGGTGAACAGCGTTACAGTTGCTCCGGAGCGTATACTAATTAAACCCAGTTATATACGTTTCTACTGCACGCGCATACTGGTGCTACCGCTGTGATAATTACCCTCGCGTTTAGGCTAATCGCATACTGCAGACAATTGCGATCCACGCGATCGTATAGCGCAACGCTAACGGAAACAATAGTAATTAACTATGTGGTAATAAAGTAACAACAACACAGCGACAACAACAACCATAACAAGTAAAGTGACGAGTGGCACATAAGTTTTGTTGCATCGCAATTCTCTCTCTCGATTTTCACGTCGACGAGCAATTTTCGCGTCGTTCCGTTTCCGATATATCGTATATCCTTTTCTCCAGACATCCCCGAATGCCGAGGATTTTGTCTTCGTCATTTATATTGCACCTACCAGTCGGATATCGTAGGTACGTGAAGCTTCAGAAATTTTTCTCGTGAATTATGTACGTCCGCGAGACAAACGAAGACGAGCTTTTACTGTACGTTTGTCACATTTGTCGAGTATAAGTTTCATGGCGCATTCAATTTCGTTTATAGATATTTGGCCTGTACAATACTGGTTAAAAAAGAAAAGACAGAAAATTAGAAGAAATTTGTTAAAGTTTAAATACGAAAAATTTTGGTCGTGAACACGCCCTAAAACCAACTGCTAGAGACAAAACAATGAATAACTTGACTAATAGCTTATATAACGCCATATTTTGCTGCAGTTTTAGATAAATAATTTTTAAACGAGTAAGTGGATCCAAATAAATTTTTGCACAAATTTTTATTAATTAATTACTACACGAAAAAAACGTTTGTTGAAAAGTTTAAAAATTTTGCTAGAAATAGATCTGAAAATAATTTTTTGTTGAATCATCAAAATAATTTGTTGGAATGTTAAAACTGCATTGCTATTAAAACGTTTTGATATTTTAGCAATCACTTTGACTTTCACACAAAATTATTTTGATCATTGAACAAAAATTATTTTCAGATCTGGTTTCAGCAAAATTGTTCTTTCCGTGAATTTGTAAAAAAATTTGATTTAATTCGTAACGCTTCCTCACATTTGCAAATAAGTACTATAAAACGCGATTTTACATAAGAATCAAAAAAACAAAAAATTAAATAACCTTTAAATAAGAGAATTGTGATCGAATTTTACACAGATGCTCAGACATAATATATAATTAATAAAACAATCTATAAAATTTTGGATAATGTATGAAATATATGTATATATCGTTAAATAATTAAATTAAGACTAAATTAACATTAAAGCTACAAATATTATAAAAATCACAACTGCAAATTACAATGACCTTTCACGCCTGCTTATTCGTATCAACATCCTATGATTTTCTTATCAAATCTGGACATATTTATTCTATTGCGACGTACGAGTTTTCTTCCATCTAACATTGAATTTATTTTTCATCAATATTTATCTATCTATTTTAGAGTTACTTTTAATAATTATTAATAAATTTTGAAAATTTAGTCAGAATTCCGAGAGTAGAAGATATATAAAAGAAGTAAGAACGAAACGAACTATTTGCTAAAAAAAAAAAAATTCACATTTTCTCAGCTCCGCTACCCTATCTTTCCCGACTCGTCTTTCGTATAATTGGCTGTATACAAATCCCGATAACTTTAATGAGCCCGCGTTTATGCCAAGAAGTTACTCGCCCTGTGCAAACGACGTCTTTTACTCAAAATTTTACGTGGTACTTCCGTCTTTACACGGTGTTTGCATTCCCGACCCCGTTTCCCGACTGCGACCAAATCGTTAGGGAGCACGAAAGAAAAATAGTAAGGCTGACATGTATATACGTAAATATATATATAATACGTAGCATGTATAATCTAAAGAGGGTCTTTTTTTTGTATCGAATATCTATAACATTTCTAAATTGACTCACCTGCAAAGCACCAGCGGCCGGTCGCGCGTGCAAAGATTACGAGGAAAATAATGAGTACGAGCACCAGAACGCCCACGACAATACCGATGATAGATCCAGCGTCCAAATCAACGCCTGCAAATCGCAGAGAAAAAAATGCCTCTGGTTATCGTAATTCTTGTGTGATACCTGATGCTACATTAATATATGCCTTGGATCGGTAAACAATTGATAGAATCTTCTGGTAAAAGAGTAAAATGAACGAAATAAGACACATGAAACATTTGAGATTGAAATTTCCAAGCGTTAAAACAACAACAAATAATTTTCATCTGCAGCAATGGAATGTTTGTCCATGATAAAGCAGACTACACGCTAAGTGCTAAAAAGCATTCTATAAATTGTTTATAGAACCTTTTTACAATTTTTGAAAACTTTTAATTGTATTTTTAATTAGAATTTTGAGATTTATTGATGGCAATAATTGAATAAAGAATTCTTCAATATTTTCAGTTCCAAGATATTAACATATAAATAATATACAATTGATGACTCTCACCCCGCAAATTTATTAAATACTTCGTAAATAATCGTGTTATTATATAAAATATTTTCGCAATTTTAGTTTACTAATTTTAATTTATTAATATATTATTTTATCAATATTATCCAAAATATCAAGGCGCGTCAATAATTTTCAAATAGCCCCAACGAAATCGCATTTTTTTAATTAACTTCAAGTAAATTTTATATTCCTCATAAAATTTTTATGTTAAAAGTTAGAAACTTAAAAAAAATCTTACACTTTTGCTAAGAGAAATATTTTATTCTAAATTCGACAAATAATTATAATCTATTAAGATTGCAAGTTGTAAAACATCTTGTATGATTTGTACAGTGAAGTAAATAACGATTATAGTGCGACATCATGTACGCGTATTTAATCACACAGCGTTTCGTGCGATCCGATCCGATTCACGTTGACGGAATCAAGACTGTTTCGCGGTCGTGCACCGTTGAAATTGGTAAATTACTCGTCGCTCGATCAATGTCAACGTGTTTCTCTCGTGATCGACGTATATTACGCTCTTAGTCAAATAGCGGTTATTAATTTCCCGGCGTGATCATCTCCCCCCGGTCTTTTACCCGTCGCGGTGAGAATCGCTGGTTCACGGAAACGCCGTGCGCGCATTTTACGTGACTACACAGACTACTTACGTATAGTAATTTGAAAAAATGACATTACCTAGTGCGTGCATGTGTTCGGAGAGCTTACCATAGAGGTTACTGAGCGGTCCTGCGTGAGCATGCGGTGAAGGATCGATATGGTTAGACACGCACATAAACATAAATGGTACGTATTTTCAAAGGCGCGCGCGAGTGTGTGTATGTGTGTTTTTATGTGTGATGATCGGTGGATGGTCATCTCGTGGCGATTACGGCTATCGATAGCCGCGATTTTACGTGCGAGATCGCGGTGGCATGATGATTATGATCGTGATGTTAGTAGTGGGTGATCAGTGGACAGCGAAGTGTGTGTGAACGCTGGTTGAATCAGGCAATCAATGAAAAAAAAATGTGTGAAAAGCGTGTGTGTGGTGATCTATTGATTGCTCGCGTGTTACCTATCATCCGCTTGCGTGTATCGAGACCCGAGAATGTGATTCAATTTGAGCAAGGCATATATTTGTAAAAAAAAAAAAATATCCCGTGATGTTACGTCAAATTTAAAAATTTCAAATTTAATAAATTGAATTTAATTCTTTTCAAAATTGAGATAAAATCATTCGAGAAATTCTCGGCGAGTTTGACTTAAATGTAAAAAAAAAAGATTGATAAAGTTAGATCTCTTAATTAAATTTTTAAGAAAATACTAAATTGCTTTAAATAAGTTTAATTAATTTGATTTAATTAGTTATTACAAGACGGATAATAATTTCCATTAAATTCTCTATAGAAATGTCTTTGTATTTCACGAAACGATCTCTGGTCGCTGAATAATTCAAAATATATTATAAGAATTGTTCCCATTAAATAAATAATTAATTAAACTGTTGGAAACATTATACACGTTCTTGTGCCGTCAGTTCACCACGGGTGCACGCCAATTATTTTCGATATGTACAAGATCCGTATTTCTAGGTGCACGGTGTGACGACGCTTTCAATAGGAGAAGAACTTACGTAAATCGGATTTGTCGAATAACTTACCCGCCGGTTCTGAGGATGTCGACAAAACGACATGATAGTTATACGATCCCTCACTGTTGGTCGCCTCCAACACGTACTGCTTTTCCGTGTCGGATTTCTGTACGCTGTCGATCGTCAGAATTACGCTCCATGCTCCTCTCCCCTGTAAAACGTGTTGCTTCGTGTTACGGACGTACATCAATCCGAGCGATCCCTCCGCGCTCTTAATTTTCCACGCTCCATCGTTCATTAATTACATCCTTTAATTAAGCCCTTTAAAGTGTCGCCGCGCGCGCGCACGCGAAGGTACGTCCACTATAAATTATTCGGGAGCTTTCGCCATTAATCTAACAACAGTTTTTTGCGCAATCTTTGTAATCCATATATTAAAAAGGAGTAAATTGATAATTATAGCGCTCGACTCGAGGAAAGAGAGAAAGGAACAAAGGATAAAGAAACAAGAATAAATAAAGAATAACTAAATTCTGTGTTCTTAATCAAACTTATCTAATTTAAAAAAAAAAAATTTTTTTCTTACAACCTTTTAGTTGAATGAACTATGAGTTTCTTCTTCAATGAATTTAATTTCTATCGCGTATTTTCATCTCTGCTACTTTCTACAATAAAAATAATTCCCATTTTTTTTATCTTTTAGAAATTCTATCAATCTTTATTAAACTTTTTTGCTTTGTTCCCGCGCAGTTTTCTAATCGAAGAAAAATCCATTTGGCAGATCTCGATATCGGAGCGTCGGGCGTTGTTCTCGGGGCGCTATTATAGAAACGAAAGCGATATGCCGAGCCTTCCCGAGAGCTCTCGCTCCTCTCCGTCCGCTCCGGGCTCGCCGTTAGTAATTGCGTTTTCAGAACTGGAAGCTGATTCGTATTCGTCGATGGCGCTCGGCACGTCGCGGCGCTCGGCCGGCCTGATGCCGTTCGGTAATCCGCTGCAAGTTGCTTGCAGACTTGCGAGGGACCCGCGCGCAGCAAGCCTATTTGAAAGCCATTCATACGGAGCGCCCGGGTTGCCGAATAGCGCGCCGGCAGCGGCTTTTATTGGTTCTGGCACACGCTGCCGTTGTCTAGAACGTTACGCTCGCCTCGCGCAAGTGTGCCCGCTCGCTCCCGGAAAGTTTGAGCTCCCTCGAATCGCGAGTTCCCCGACGAAATCATCGGACGCCATTGAGATCTCTCACTCTCCCTCGATCGTGGAATAACCCGCGTCATTGAATGCACACTCGGTCGGCTTGCCGCGCGCGTGCCGCTCGATTAACGCCCCCCCCCGCTCCCTCGATCCTCCCTCTCGCGCTCGCCCTATTTGTGCCCGGAAGTTCGCCAGCTTTCCGCGACCTTCCGCCGCGCATGTATACCCGAGCAGCTGGCGCCCGACGATAAAATTCCCGATTTTACGTAAGTATTAGACCGAAGGAAAAAAAATGAAATAAAGGGAGGGAGGGAGGGAGGGAGGGGGAAGGAAGGAAGGAAGTTGGAACGCATTTCGACCATTTGCATTCTTTTGTAACATGAGAGATTTTCTTCCCTCAAGAACAAATCTAATTCTGAATGGTATCCAAGGAACGTTTGAAATTTAAGTTCGGTAACATGGTTGAATGTTTAAGTTTCGCAAAACTTTTTTTTTACTTCCATCCGTTTTTTCACCCCTCCCTGTCAAACTGATTTAATAAATGGCTTCGGAGCGACGGAAACGCGGCCGCGGTGTATTCGGGAGCGACGAACGACTCGCGCGTTGTTCGCCTATACCCTCTTCCCCGTCCGTCCCGAACTAATTAAAAAGCGCAAGTTGCAAGATCGGCAAATCCATTTAAACCTTAACTACAGCTACGGGATGAACAAACCGCCTCTCTTGCTAACGAAACAATGGGGCCGGGGAACAAACGCCTGCCGAGGACCTCCGCGCGCGGGATCCGCGCGGCTACCCGATCGATTCGCCGTGTCTGAATTCAATGGAATTTCATTACGGCGCTGCACTCCGGCGCGCGCTGTCACACAGGTGCATGGAGAATGCATCGGGCGAATCGGTAAATCGAGGCCCGCCGCCCACGCCGTTGCCGCCGCCGCCGCCGCCGCGTCGCGTCGCGTCGCAGCGCAATATTGGATTTCTGTTTCATTTGCCTCCGCCAATCCGGGTCGCTCTTCCCCTTTTCATCGCCAATTATTTCTTGGGCTCGCGCGCGCATTTCTTCTCCCTTACGTTTTATCTGTGTCACCGAAGAGAATGGCTCGAGAGTCTCTAAACGAATCACCGACCGCCGACATCTCCGACGCGTTTCTGCTCAACGTTCCGCTAAATCGAGTCGCCAAACGCACTGTCTATCTCGTTACGACACATCGCGGCGGCGCATCGCTTTAACGGGATGAAACGTAGAGATCAATATGGATGTTCTTTTGAGAGAATTTAGAAATTATATCTTTTTAACAAAGTCTCAATCATCGATTATTTGAAAATGACTTAAAATAACAAGCATTTTTTCTTGACGTTTCTAATTTAAGATCACGAATAAATGTTTCTCTTTTCCTTCGATTAAAGACGTTTAATATTAAAAATATAAAAATAATAAAACAAAAAATACATTTTTATTCCAGATCGTAAGGTTTTATCGAAGAGTATGTGTAATTATAAATATTTCAAAGAATGCGTATGTAACTCTTTTATAAATTCAAAGAAAATAAAACTTACCAAATCGACGGCGGTTGAAGTTTCTAATCGATTACTCTCGTCGGGACGACCTTCGTCAATTTTTTCATCGTTCACTTTCCATGTAAATCGCGGCCTGGGATTTGCATAAACAGTAACATTGATGATTCCCTGTCTGCCAATTACGTATCCGAATCTTTCAAAAGTTGCTTGTGGCTGTGGTGGAACTAAAAAGGCAAACACAACTCTCTTTAAAAATCTAGGATTTTAAAGGTAAAAGAGACAATATGTCTACAAGATGTAATGATTTTTATAAAAAACATTAAACGATTGTTGATTCAAATTCATTAACATGAAAATTAATTTGAGTTAATTATTATTTCATTATTGAATAGGTACACAAGAAAATTTCATTAGCTATTAAAAATTAATATTAGAAAAAGTCATAAGTTCTTAAGGTGTAAAGCAGAATGAAGAAAAAAAAACAGATGTATTGATAAAATAAAAAAGTAACTTGATATAAAACAGACTCTTTAAAAATGTAAAGCGGATGTTAATGGGTGTGAAACTGTTTTGTATTACCACGGTAACTTACAGTATACTTCGATTCTCACAACCTTTTCTATGGGCTTCTCAAGGGCGATGTGGTTGGCTATGCATTTTAACATCTTGCCGTTATCTGTCCAATCTAAACTACGTGAAGCGTTTTGCATTGACGAGTCGTCCATATTCGTGCCGTAAAAGGTGTACCTCTCCTCGCTAATCGGCTCGTCATCTAAATGTTCAGAACAAGAGTAATTTCATTTTTCTCTATTATTTATACTATATTGTCCTTATCTATATTTTATACTTTATTTAATTAATTGTATATTACGGATAGAGGGAATACTAATATATTATTAATCTCATCTTTTAAAAATTAATGAACATGTTATTAATCTAAAGATGTGTAAACACGGTCATTGCGATATTTGCTTATGTTTAAAATATTTCAATGCTCTCCTTCATCAAATTTTCGAATTTTCTCATCGTTTAATCTTGAAAAATCAATCTTAGTTTATCTATTAAACAAATGATTGAAATATCTTAATTGGGTACATTAATTGGCTAAATTAAATTTTTTTAAATCATTTTCTCATTTCAATTTCTGCAAATCTTTGTTATAAGATCCGGAAGTTGGAAAAAAGTACGTGTTTCTCTCTCTCTCTCTCTCGCTCTCTTTAGAGTAATAAAATAATAAATATACTAACCAAGAAACAGGGACACATTCGCTGCTGGCCGTCCAGATGGAGCGATGCAGCTGACTTCCATTTTCTCACCCTTTCTGTATTTGTTTACGCCAATACTTCCACGATTCATCATAATTTCGAGGTTTCCAGGTGGTCCTGAGAAAATTTAAAGTAAGAATTCCTCTTTAGTTCGCTGCATTGGTAACACCACGTCGGTCAGATATGTACAACTCGAATTAGAAAACAACACAAACTGCAACATTTTCTGTATTTTATTATTTTCATCATTTTGTTATCCGAATCTGAGACGGTGACTTAAATTTAACTTTTTCGACGACGATGTTTCTCTACGTTAAAATAACAGGGGCAGATTCTCCTAAGATATTCATGAATCTCGCCATTTATCTTTATCGGGTTCATCTTAAACGGTAATTTTGCTCGAGGCGCTTATTTCAGTCTCCGTAAGCAATTTCCTTAAGGAAGATTAATTACTTTTCGAATACAGCTATAGCGACTGGAACAAGCGTTAGCTTATTTTTTTTGCTTCTTGCTCTAATTAATGCTTCTCTTTTCATTGTAACCTCTTTGTCAAAAGGTATTCTATTTCCTCTTTATTTATTATTTCACACTACATATAATACCACTACAATTACACTCACTTTTAATTGCTATGAGTTCATATGTAATATACATATACAAGCAATTGTCCACGTGATTGGAAATTAAAAACAAAAATTAAAAATCAATATATCATTGAACTCGTAGATAAAGTACATATCAAAATAATTGAATTTATGTGATTTTTTGAATAAAATAATTATACGTCAAGTAACAAATAAATGAAATTAGGTGCTAATCTTTGAAAAAACAATTTTAAAATAATATTTGTACGTAGAAAAAGAAATATATACAATTACTTTTATCTCTTTAAATGACTTTACAGCGTATTTAGCTTGGGAACACACGGGTATCTTCTCACAAGTAAAAACACAATTTAAAAATACGTACAGTCCGGTATGTCAAGTTTATATTTAACGATTTTTGAGTTAAAAAAATCTCGTCGAATCGAGGCAGAAGGTGAGTACTCACTCGCGACGACAATCTTGAGAGAAGCAGTTGCCTCTTGCCGGGTGCCAACGGGCGTCAGGAAGCATTTGAAGGTGCCATCGTGAGTTTCCTTCACATTAGCGATACGGATGCCGCACTGGCCTTGCCGCAATCCGTTGCCGTAATACTCAATGCCAGCTTCCGGCGGTTCTCCCGGGTTTAGCACCTGGCTAATCTCGCCAGGCACCTCTACGCGGCAAAATTTAATCGGTTGTGGGGCGGTGCAGAGAATCTGCAGGCTCTCGCCGACTCGCACGGCCATCTCTCCTTTTGGCTCGATGTCAATGATATTTAACTTTGCTGAAAACAGACGAACGTACGAGATTAATAATAGGCTCGATCACAAATAAATCGCGCGAGTCTATATTCAAAGTCGCACATCAAAGTATAAATATAATACAATACAATACCAGAACTCGTTGAAAACTATTTTGGATGTTTTATAAAGGGTAGATAACGTTTTATTATTCTATAATTATTTCATGTTTTGAGATAAGTTTTTCCGAAGTAATAGATATTTCTACGCTAAAATTATTCTTATCGTGTATATTAAATATTAAGTAATTTAAATTAAACTTTTATCAGGTTACTTTAAATTACATTTAGTCCAAGGAAGCCACGCGGATAACTTTCACGTTCTACAGCATTATTCAATTAGTTTTGGTATTTATGCAATATCATTAAAACATCATCAAAATACGTTCTTATATATTTAATATCTATATGCGTCTCAAGCCCGTATCAGACTAAAGATTGAGATTGAGATTGAATTGGGATTCAACCAATCAGAAAAGAGAAAACTAATCTCAAATTTAGTGAACTTTATTTTGATTGGTCAAATTCTATTCCAATCTCAATCTCAATTTTTAGTCTGATACGGGCTTTAAGATATTTGAGTTGAATTAAATTTGTTGCGTAAAGTGCAATGTTATATATAAGTTATAAAAAAAAATAAATAAATAAAAACAAAGAGAAGAAAAAAAAGGAAATGTTTTAAGCAGGTTTTAAGGAGCAGCCTCTTTGCGGGAATCTCAATAAAAAATCGAGAGGGTAATTCGCACGGGCATGGGCGAAAATGCCGCTACGAAGATTTACGAGACAAAAAGAAAAGTTGATTAAATCCCCATCTGCACTACCTCTATCACTCTTGTGTATCTTTCTTATACCAACGTGATCTACAATGGGAAGGGATGTAGCCGACTTTTTTCCTCTCCCTATCCGCTCTTTCGTCACTAAACTCACTCGACATGCTGGCATTTACTATTAATCCTTATATTGCACGATGACTTCGATATAAGGCTGTGCTTCTTGTTTTGTTAATTGTTAGTGTTGTAAAATGAAATAAAGAAGGAGACTAGGAGACTCCAACTTTCAAATAGGAGATTCCAATTTTTTTAATCCAAATAGAGAGTACAATAATAAATATATAAAAATATGTAAAATAAATTATATTAAAATAGAGGGAAAGAGGGGAGAGAAATGTACACGATGCGTAAAATACGTAAAATAATTAAATATATTCCAACAATTATATATAAATAATATTTTAATATTTATGTGTGTGCATTAAAATATGCGTAAAGTATGAATGCTATGTGTACAAATGTATAATATATAATATAAAATGTAATATATATATATAAGAATATAGTATATGCATATAAAGATTAATGCAATGACAAATTTTCAGTATATTTGAATTTTTCTTATTTTTTTATTCAAATAAAACGCCTTATTGGCAGATTAAACTATATTTTATTTTAAACACACTCTATTATTATGTGCCGAATCAGATATTGTGAAAGTTTCCATATAAATAATTCGCAATTTTGTCTAAATGTTTTCTATGTCTTCATAAGGGCTGTAATGTAGCGGAAGTGATAAAAATATTTTACACAACATTCAGCATACTCTATTATAATTATGTTAGAAGCCCTTAAATATTAGTATGCGCATACGTATCGTTGAGGTCTCATAACGTGACATAATATTGTAATCAAAGCTGTATAGCATGATCTTAGTATTCATACCGTATACTTTGCATAATATGCAAGATAACTGTTTCAGATAACTTCCCTGCATTTTACAAGAAAGAGAGCAAACTGATATTCCGTAACTATACAGAAAAGATTATATTTAAATTTATAATAGTTTTGGCCAGCTCGTGACGTTCACTCGGCAGTACAATAGGCAAACGAAAAGCCAAGTCATATTTTGCCATTTTTCTCTGTTGTATCAAAAATAAATCTCTCTCTTCACAGTTCTTCGTACCACTTGGCATAGAAAATATATTTTACAGCACATTTTTATTTTTTATTTTTTCAAGTAAATTAAATTTCCAATAGATCCGTTTCATTTTTATATTTCGCAATTTGAACGGGAGAAAAACACATTTTTGAGAGTTACACCATTCAGTTCACACGACAGACGCGATTGCTATTCAAATGTGACGATCATTATCGCCGCCGCCCGTGATGATGCGCGTTATCGAGATAATGTGCGCTTTAGTTTGTATCTCGTATAACAGCTCGCGCGGTTAAAGAACTCGCACCGCCCCGACAAAAAGTCCGCGCTCTCCCCCGCCCCTCAAAGAACTCTCATAAGGCTTAAATATAGACGTTTGCTTTTAAGTTCCCTGCCGAGGCCGCGACGCGAGGCATCGCCACGCGCTGGTCGCATCGATCTCCGCGCCAGTTTGGGACGTGTCATCGGCGGAACGACGCGGCGGCGCGCGGCGCGGCGCGGCCGACCGATCCCATGCACGATGCTATTATGATAATGCACTTCAAGAAATATGATAAACTGGGCGTGGCGCGGGCAACGACTATCATATTTCATCCCGTCGGCCAGCCGCGCCGGCTGGTCGATCGCCGGCAATAGCTCCGAGAGGCAAGTAACTTGAAATCTAGCGATTTTGACAGATGCGTGTTCTTGCATGCGATAAACGAGATGCTATATATGAAATAAAGCGCAAGTTCAATTGCGACTCCCAGATGCAACTCTATTTGCGGATAAGCAGCGTGATTGCAATTTTATATGAACACTCCGCCTTCATGTGTTTTTCCGATAAAAAAAATTAAATCGACAGATGTGATCTGTTTAATTTAAATATTAACAAATATAACTGACTGAATTTATTCGTATATACTTATGTAATTTATCTCAATATTTATCAATCACTCTGGACTTGTGCAAACTTGTTCCCCATGAAGAGAGCGATTTCCTTACGTTCTATTGTTACTCAAGTAGTAAAACTATTGAACCGATGCCTCCCGAATTTCTCTCGGGTGTTCATTATCGCCGCCCAACACAATCGCGGGTTTCCTGTTCCTGCCTCTTTTTCTATTCGCACACAGAGAGCTATATTTTTCCGTTTAGATGCACTCAGATGCGTTTTCTGTGTACCCGCGCCGATGTTTCGGTTCGCGGCATGGGATTCAATGGGTTCGTTAGAATTGTTGCGCGATTTTATAGCGCGATATGGACTTTAAACGCGCTAAAAGCACTTCCGAAAGAGCAGTGTTACCTGGTATTGATGGTATTTTCACTGGTGTGTTTTTTTGCACCCGGGTATACTCATACACTGCTTTCGTTTCTGTTATCCGCGATATACCTGTTTATTGTGCGATATAGATATATTTAGATTTTATCGCGCGTATTATCACTTTTAATTCAATTTTCACTTCAACATTTCATTCATTTATTTTACTAATTTATTTTAATTTTTTTCTCTTATTGACCGTTAATAATGCATACTTAACGCGAAATATTTACAGAACTGGAATTAAAATCTTACACGCGCGAAAGTACAATTGAGCGATAAGAAGTTATTTCGCTTAAAGGAAGAACCAATTATCGGATAATTTTTCCCTTAGTTGCTCGTTCATCGGCGCATCTACATCTGTATTCGTTACGCATTATTTTTATTCCTTCCGACCCGCTGAAACTCGCGTTGACGTTCGAAATTACACCGCGAGAATTCCTATATACGCCTTCCTGCGCCGTTCCGTGCGATTGCGAATGTGGCGCGCCGTGTCGACCTGCCAGGCGATCGCAAGACCATAAATCCCATTTGATTTTCCGCTCATCAATTTGTTACATAGCCGACGTCACGATCTAATTTGCCCGTATACCCGGATTTGCCCGGAGAATACGACCGCTCGAGCCACCGCCAGCAGTTCCCTGCATCGGAGAACACACGCATCCCCCCGGAAAGCCGCAGCAACAGATGCGGTGATTTGTGGACGTCGCGCCACGCATCGCTGCAATTATGAAATTGATGGGCGGACGGGCGTTAAAAGCACCCCGCGTTTTATTTCGGTTTCTCCCCTTCTCGCGTGATTTGATCGCGAATCACGATTCGACACACTGGACTACGTACATAAATTCCTAACTACGATAATCTATACAGATTCTACAGAGACATAAAAATTGCCGGAGTGAGAACATACATTTATGTTTGCGATTCGCTCGGCGAATCCGATATTCGTTTCGACGAAGATACGCGCCGATTCGCCTATATACAAGCAGGTCTTCACTTCTGTGTGTGTGTGTGTGTGTGTGTGTGTGTGTGTGTGCGTGTGTGTGTATAGGTACGTATACATTCCTCATACGTGCCACATCGCGGAACGGTATGATACAACACGTAACGGCGCATCCGTGTGTATCCGTTTCGCGCGCATTCCGCACCTCGGTATTTTATGTCCGCTTGCCCGTTATTGACTCCCTCGGTCTTCCGACCGCCGCCGTCTCGCACCCTCTCGCACTCTCGCGCAGTGATAACGTGGCGAAGATAATCTTGGCTACCCGGCATGCAACCTGCCAGTGCAATTTCGCAGCGATTTCCAATTTTCTCGGCTCGCTTGTGCATCCCCTCCCCCCCCCACCCGCTTCTCGCCGCGCATCTTCCGCCGCGGAAGGGAAGTGCGAAGATGTGGATTCGGAATAGAACGGAAGGAGGAAAACTAGAAGGGAAGGAGAATCACCGGAAAAGAAGAGAACGGCGCGTATTAAGTTACGTATACATTGTGCCAACAAGTCTTCGGACAGCTCGTTTTCATTGTTGGTTTCTTATTCCGTGTGCTGTGCATTCTCATTCCGATAAATTCAGTATTCGTTATAAGTATAACGTTCTAAAGTTTCCTATCCAAGAAATATAAACAAAAAAGTTAAAACATCCATTTTTACTTTTCAATATAATCACCCTTTATTTCAATAAATTTTTTTAGAACGATGAAAAAATATTTTGAATTTGTGTTCTTCAAAATGATTTAACATTGTTAAACGAGACACGAGACCACTTCTTCGTCACTGGTAAATTTTTTCCGCGCAAATTGGACTTCAATTTTGAAAGTTTTTTTTTATTTTAGAAAAATTGATTCATCGTAAAAAAAATGTATCGAAATAAAGAGTAATTATATTAAAAACTGAAAATAAAAAATGATCGTTCCATTTTATTAACTTCTTTTTACATCATTGCATGCGCCAGGAATTTCTGAATCTTACTACATATACTCTTGTAAGCTTTGAAGTTAGTTACCAATATTATCATTGCGTCCTTATTTTGTCTACTGAAATATAGGTATCAATGCTTTTTAATCAGCACTCGCTACATATTTTTTTGATTTTACTTTGAAGTCGTTATAGCGCGCGGCGCGTTTTTCACGCTACTTTCTAATAAGACTAGGGATCTTTACAGGGTCTCGCTGGGTGTACATGCACTCTTAGAACGACGCGGTCCGCTGCGGTTAGATTGCGGTGGCGGTTTCACGATGCAGCGAGAGGAAGTAATCCTGGCCGGCACTTCTCGTATTAGGATGCTGCTATTCCCTAACGTTGCTAATTTTGCTCGACGGGCGCCGCGAAATATGCTCGGCCACCGTGATAAGCTATACACTTTCGAAGTCGCCCGCGCGAATCGGAGGGAGCAGAACTCGATTTTCGTCGCGCAATCAGATTGAAGTATTGGCGATTAAAATACAAGGATTTATCCGATCAGGGCGCGATTGGTAATTCAATTACGCCGAGCAGTGTTGGATCGTTGACCGGTTAATAACGGACGAAAACGACGAAAGAGTGTCCTGAAAATATTCAAAATCTTTTTTTTTTTATGGTAATTTTCGCCGTGCCGTGAATCGGATGTGAAAACGCGGATAGTGTTACGCGATTAATTTGTGTAAAATTAAACATATAATAAGTTACATTAGATTAAACAATAATAAGTTAAATTAGACCGCTACAGTAAATAAC